TTGTTTATCGTAGTGAAGGTGCGGAAGTGACCCGCTTGGCTGGGAGGACCCTTCCCCACGCTGCGCAACGTCACACAAGATATCTTCCCCCAGCCCATCTCTGGCGCGTGGACTCCCGCATTGCACAGTGGGTCCCTCCATATCTTCCAATCTACCGGCCTAAAGACATGCCACTCGGCGAGGCCCTTGATGACGATTATGTGGCGGAGATCTTGAAGCGGGACGCGCAGGCAAGCTCAGCCAGAAACTTCGCTCCCGGCTACGAAGGCCTACTAACAGCGAGAAGGTAGGCAGTCATACTCCACTGGCACTAGGTATTTCAGCTATCTGACGACTTTGACAGGCCGACAGGGTCCGCGCCAAAACCTAATACTCGATTTCTTCGCAACATCCTGCGCGACACAGACAACCATAATGCAGCATTGCTGGCTAAAGAAGCGGAAGAGTCTCGCGCTCGACTGAGGAAGCTACGCGACCAGCGGTCCAGAAGTGGCAAGCCTGAACAGGCGTTGTACTCTGCAAGAGCGAGGCATGAATCTGGTTCACATTCACCGGCTAAGCGCAGGCGCTTAAGTGACGATGATGACGACGACAAGAACAGGCGCACTCACAGGAGCCGTGATGAAGATAAGAGTAAGGAGCACCGGTCTCGGGACAATAAGAAGGAGCGATCTGGCTACCGCAGGAGGGAACGAAGCTCCAGTGTGAGCGGTTCAGAGCAGGACCACAGGAGCCACCGAAGTCGGCAGCGGAGGCGAGAGCAACGAGATCGTGATCGCAAAAGCCGCAGGAGTCGCAGCCCGTCCGAGGGCAGAACGATATCAAGAGAACGTTATCGCAAGCGTGATAGTGGTAGCGACAAGCATCGCGACGTGCGCAGGCGAAGCTCAAGGTCGCCGTCTGTGGAGAAGCGAGCGCATAGAGATGAACGTTCGAACAGAGATCGGGACTTCGGCGCAGAGCCGCGCTCCGTGGACACAAACAGAGCACATCGTACGAGTTCAACGGCATCAGACTCTGATCCTCTCGAGTCAATCATCGGCCCGCCTCCGCCGCCTCCAGACCCAGCAGTCCGCTCCCGAGGCCGCGGCGCATTCTCAAAATCATCAGGAATCGATGCACGGTTCGCCTCTGACTACAATCCCAGCACAGACGTGCAGCTAGACACGGCCGAAGGGGACGATTGGGACATGGCACTGGAAGCGCTACGAGACCGGCAGAAATGGAAGCAGGAAGGTGCTGACAGGCTGCGTGCGGCGGGCTTCACGGCCGAAGAAGTGAAGAAATGGGAGAGGGGAGGAGAGAGGAGTGAAGAGGATGTCAGGTGGCGGAAGCATGGGGAGGGACGTGAATGGGATAGAGGGAAGGTCGTTGCTGATGATGGTATGGTTGATGTGCAACCGGAGTGGGGAAGGCTGAAGGATACGTAGATGTACACGACAACCTGGAAGTGAGTTACCTAGTCACGAAGCGGAAATCCCCCTCTGAAACGTATTTCGCCCTACGAGAATGGTGGTGGCACAAATATCAGCGACTCATAGCAGTCTCCATGAGCCGACAACATACGGCTTCCGAGGCACGGAACTCCGGTGACAATAGCTGGACTCGCGACAGAGATATCTGGACCAGTCCAGAGGGCTGGGTAATGGGAAAGTTGCTGAGATAGAGGGCCCGGAAGCGATGCAGGAGCCTTAGAGGTGCAAGAGGACGTGTGAAAAACAAGGTCTTTAACTCTTTATAGATGCCAAACTCGCGCCAGACCTTTAGAAAAGTGAACGATGTGGGCTCCTGCTGCCGGAGTAGATCGTAGCTCTGAGCCAGTCTGCAAAAGCTGTGGTGGAAGTTCTCAAGCTGCTGCACCTTACTGTCCAGTTCACGTACGGAGACGGACCTCGAAATGCTTGCCAAGCCATGTACGTAATGTTCGAGGAGGATCGCTGGTCAAGCTTTCCGGGGCGGAGGTCAGCCCGTGACAGAAAACGAGGAGGATTCTAGGCCCCGGTGTGCAAGATGGGAATCCTCCGTCCATACAATACAAGTATAAGGCATGCACCTCCGACTCCTTCGCCAACCGGTTGTCGGCCTTGTCAGACAGCGAGCGATATCGCAAAGGGGTACGTCTCCTACAGGAATGCTGATAGGGGTAGTTACCCTTACCGGTACGAGGCGCGGGGTTACGATGGACTAAACGCCGATTGCGAACTCGGCAAACAATATCCGACATCTTGTAGAGTTTACGCAACGGCGGCAAAAGACCATGGAGAAGGCCTTATCGGGCATTCTGCTGGCCGTCTTTACCGGTCTGCATGCATGATACTTATTATTCACCTTCCCTTTTCAATTGACTAGTCCCTTTCTTCAGCCAGTCGCCTCGCTCTTTGATTGCATTGGATTGTTTCCATCTCCCGTGCTTGATTGTTCTTTACGTCACCACTATCCTCGTTTCTTGAGAGCTGAAACAACGAAGAACCATCGTAAAAGTATACCGCCATCATAATTATGGATGAAGATGATCGAGTCCTTGAGCCTATCCGGACAGGACGTCCCACGCGACCATTGACCACCCGTAGCGCAAACAGTTCTCGATCAAGACGAAGCAGAAGTCGTCCTCGCAGCCCTCTCCAGCGTATTTACTCCTCACACTACCTTGACGACCATAATGTCTACGATCATGAGCACGCGGCACACTCAGACAGCGAGCGCGAAGAGGAGGAAGAGGCAGACTCAGACAATGCGCTAGAATCACAAGACAGTTCGCTGGACGAGAAGAAAGAGAAAGAAGAAGAGGACCAGGACCCTGACATTGTGCCTGAAATACAAGGCGCGGTGCCCGACGAGCGAGAATTGGATCTAGAGGCGCAAGGTCCGAAACTAGAGAGAAGGGCGACGACGAAGAGTATCAAGGATCCGAATCTGGTAACATGGGATGGACCTGACGACCCAGCCAACCCCAAGAATTGGTCGCTCAAACAGAAGTGGGCGGCAACGCTTGTCGTGTCGAGTTTCACTTTCATCTCGCCTGTCAGTTCATCCATGGTTGCGCCAGCCCTCAGTACGATATCGGCGGACTTCAACATCAAGAGTACGGCCGAGGAGCAGCTCGTGCTGTCCATCTTCGTTCTGGCGTACGCTATCGGACCACTGTTCCTGGGACCGATGTCCGAGCTGTACGGAAGAGTGAGAGTGTTGCAGCTCGCCAACGCCTTCTACTTCGTCTGGAACTTGGCGTGCGGTTTCGCTACGTCGTCTGGTCAGATGATGGCGTTCCGTTTCCTCGCTGGTCTCGGTGGTAGTGCGCCTCTTGCCATTGGTGGTGGACTGCTGAGTGACTGCTGGAGGGCTGAGGAGAGAGGAAAGGCTATTTCCATCTACTCGCTTGCGCCACTTCTTGGACCAGCCATCGGACCCATCGCCGGAGGTTTCATCACCGAGAATACGTGAGTAAACACATGGCGAGCGTCTGCTTGCACACAATCAACTAACGTTCCATAGCACTTGGCGCTGGACTTTCTGGTCAACGTGTATCGCATGTGCCTGTATCCAAGTCAGCGGTCTCTTCTTCCTCCAAGAAACCTACATCCCCGAGCTTCTAAAGCGCAAGAAGAACCGCCTAATCAAAGAGACGGGCAACACCAAGCTGCACACCGAGTTCGACGATCCCAACAAGACTTTCTCCGTGCACTTACGCACCGCTCTCTTCCGTCCTTTTCGCCTACTCGCCACCCAGCCCATCGTCCAAGCCCTAGCCATATACATCGCCTACGTCTACGGCATCATGTACCTCGTGCTCTCCACCTTCCCCGGCCTCTGGACCGGCTACTACGGCGAATCAATCGGCATCGGCGGTCTAAACTACATCTCGCTCGGCCTCGGCTTCTTCCTCGGGACGCAAATCGGCGCGCCGCTGAACGACCGCTTCTACCGCCAGCTCAAGAAACGCAACAACGGGGTCGGGCGGTCCGAGTTCCGGGTGCCGCTGATGTTTCCGGGCTCGGCGTTGATCCCGATGGGGCTGTTTTGGTACGGCTGGACGGCGGAGACGAAGCAGCATTGGATCTTGCCCAATATTGGCGCGGCCATCTTCTCCGTCGGCAATATTATGGTGTTTCAGTGCTGTCAGACGTATATCGTTGATGCCTACACCAGATACGCGGCGAGTGCTGTTGCTAGTACCACGGTGCTGCGGTCGCTGTGTGGGTTCGGTTTTCCTCTCTTTGCGCCGAGTATGTACGGCGCCCTTGGTTATGGGTGGGGGAATAGTCTGTTGGGCTTCATTGCTATTGGACTCGGACTGCCTGCGCCGTTCCTGCTGTGGATTTATGGTGAGAGGTTGAGGGCGAAGAGCAAGTTCGCTGCCGGAGGATGAGCGATCAGATATGGAAATGTCTGGAGCAACCTAGCTGCAGGATGGGCAGCATTTTTCTGGGTTTTTGGTTGAGGCTTTCAGCGCGGCGTTGGTGGAGTCATCAGGGAATGTGCATGTTGCATGGCGTTCGACGGAGAAATTTACCTAGCGATTCGAATCTAATGACTGCACCCTTAGATATGAAGACTGAAAAGTAAATGATTATGCAGAAAGAATTAATTCGGTTCCTGAAGGTTAAGAGCGCGCTCTGGCAGAGATAGGAATTTCCGTGGAGAGTCAGCGTTACCCGTCCGCAAAGGAAGAGGACATAAGGTAGTCTTCAGTATTGCCAAACCAATCAACACAAGTCTATTCGAAGGGACATTCTCGAAAAGTAAGACGCCCATAGTAACATGCAAACATGAACATGCCTCTACGTTCCCTTTCCCCTCCGATCATCAAGAGGGTTAGGTAGGAGATCAGTCATCCTTTGATCTGTACATGGTCCGGTACGAGACGCATGTACCAAGATATGCATTATAATGCACCATAGCGGAGCCCAGAGCTGAACCCACGCAGCACAACGACCCACTGTGCAAGATAGACGATAGACCTTCCTTTGGTCGAAGACTCAAAAAAAGACAAAAGAAGAATTTTCCGATACCGGGAGTCGAACCCGGCTCTGCCCGGTACTAAGTACCTTTTTCAGACGCTTGGAAGCAACTGTTGTTGACTTGAAAGCGGGCGATGCTAGCCGATACACCATATCGGATTGATGGAAGGTTCAGTGATTGTAGATGTTTATATACCCCAATTAACATTGCTGCTCGAATTCTGCGGCAGTAGGCTGCGACGAGGAACCGGGGAGACGCACAACGCCAAGCTATTGGCGCACTACGACGTACCTCTTTGTACGTCGAACGCGTAGAATGTTCATCGTTTTTACTTGTATACCGGAGACGATCGACTCAGATCGCACTTCATCTTGCGTAGTAAGCTCGTAAGGTGTTTGTACAGCGACCTGGCGTTTTCTGTGGCGCTGACACTTCGGACTATGGACAACTGCTCGCTTCGATTCGTACCTGTAGGAATGCAAAGATCGAATCAAGCCCATGCACCTGCGGATGACGGACCACTTGTGGAAGCAACTGGGTCCATATAGAGCAGCCGACCCCGGGTACCGGTGGTTTCCTGATTCGAACGCTGAGGAAGTGATCGTGATTTTACTCTCTGTACGTGTGTTCCGTTTGTCTTGGCCTGATTGGAGAAAAGAACTGGTTCAGACATACCTGAATCCTTCTTCATTCCCTATATGTTACCCTCTATATCTGTCCTCTGCCTTATGGATTCCCTCTTCTCATCACAGCAATCTGCTTTCCCTTAGTGAGCCCAGAGAAGGGGCCGGTACCCAGGGCCTGCTGAGCACGGCATTGGTCGGCAGTATCTGCCACCGAGTATTTTGTATATGGACTTGACTTTCACGTATAGCGAAGACTTCCGAGATCGTGAGCGTTGGTAAGGTGAATGTAGTTGTAAGACCCTGTTGCCGCACGAAACCGACGCTAGCAGTGTTGATTGTGCGTGAATCATGTTTTGGTATTGTCCTTTTGATGTCGAGTGACTATTCTTGCCAACACCACATATAGCCGTAATATACATAAAGTCTCTATCCTCCATCATTCCGAGTCTCTCCCTTTCGCAGAATCACATCCGCCCTCATATCCCCACGGGACATTGATTTACCAACCACACAATGTCTGCCGTGACCGACATCCCTATTACACATCATGTGTACGAGTGGTCCGACGCTCCCAAGCACCGCAATTGTAACCACTACGAGGTGGTGAACCTGGACGGAAACCAGGTCGATCCACGGGTCTTACAGCGTCCTGGCACCGGTTTTCGCGCCATCATTGCGGGTGCACCACACGCCTGTCCGAAGTGCAAGTATGGTAGTGACAATCCGCACGCCTTTTACATCAGGGACAAGCCAATTCCAGACCTCAACGGACTTGCTCGGTAAGTCTTCGTTTCCTCTGCGTACATCTCTTTCTCTCACTACTCTATTGGGTGGCCTGTCGTGTTCCTTTGGTTGCTTTCACGAGTAGATGTGTCGGTTAACATGATTACAGCGCTGCCCGAGTCATACCACTCAATGCCTCCGCCCGAGTCTTCTCCCCTACAATATCAAGGGTTGTCACACCTTCCTTGCCTTCGTCCAGTGGTCCCCAAACCGCTGCCGACTCAGCCGTTCTAATCAACACGGGTGCCTATTCCATCGGTCCCTCGCGCTCCCGCCCAGTCCAGTGCCGCAAGAACCACCCCTGTGTCGAGGGTCTTCCGCACTGCCACTTCCACCACAGTCAGCCCGGTCCATGTCACAACCCTTGGGAGACATGCTACCACGCAAGTAAGTACACGTCTCTCACTACTCTCCATGCCGTCCACTGACAGCAGGTAGAAAAGGCTATAGGGGCTTGTTACTGGGCCAAGAATACCTGGGATGGAGCACCGGTCGGCTGGAACGCGGCCCATGCCCAGTGCATTCTGAGAGAGAACCCCGACAGGTGTCCGATGCATCAGGCTATACAGGACTCTATCTATGGCTCCTCTCGGTGAACGATACCCCGATGGGTTTTCATGGGGATTGGCAGTTGGGAATGGGGTTAGAACACGGGGAGGAGTTTTTACAGAGGTAGATGATTCTTTCTGATAGATTCACATGCGACTCCCTCTTTAAACACCGAACGGCCTCTCTCTTCTACAGAAAGCCTGTCGAACCTTGCCTTGGTGGCCCATCCTCGTCAAGCAACACATTCTATGAGACACGTACAACAGTCGTTTCTCCGTACCTCCTGTTAGCCACTAGTCATCACATGTAATTGTAGACCAGAAGCATCGGCCGGACCTGGATTCGTCAACACGAGACAATTCCTAATCTGCACCGTCGCTGGTCAATGCATTAGGAGTACCGATGATGGTCCGGATATAGAAACTCTCCAAGGCAGGAAGAGCGAGACTTTGATCATGCCTTCCATGGACATACCGAAGGAGTGCATGCATTCAACATTCACAATAGATACATGTTCTACCTGTATCAGCCTCATTTATCGAGGTCGCATTGCCCTACCCGGGGCCATCCTATACATCTACCACTTCCCACCCTTACCCTTCTTCTTCTTGTTCTTCTGCTGCTGGCCACCACCACTCTTCACCTCTCCAGCAGCCGGCGTACCCGGCCTACTAGCACTATCCTCCCTCTCGACCACAACGCCGCCCTGCATCAACATGGCCTGCTTTTGCTTGCCCTTACGGCCTTTAGGCTTGTAGTAGGTACGGTCCCGCATTGGCAGCCAGCGTTCTGGATCCGGCTTCTTCGAGGCGTCATAGTCCTTTGGCATGCGGCTCGGCCGGATCTTCTTAGCCTTAGGAGGCGCCGTGGGAGCGCTCCGCTTGACAGACGTCACTGGTGTTGCGGAGGTGGCGGGTTTGGCGATGCCGGCTTCTTCGAGGGCGGAAATGTCGATGCCGGCGACAAGACGCTCGACTGGGGTGAGGGATGATAGGTCGGAAGATTGGATCGAGGATGGTGAGGTTGCTGCCAACGCGGCGACGAGGCCTGCAGAGGCGTAGCGATCTTCAGGATCTTGCTGGCTCAGTTCTGAGAAAATGTTGCGGGCAAGATCTAAATCTTCAGGTTTTGAGGACTCGAGCAGCGATACGCCAGCGGCCTTGTAGAGGTGGCCAAGTGATCTTTGTGATGGCACATCGGTTGCATCTCTCGATCTCTGTTGCCAATACTTTGCAGCCTTTGCAAGTTCTGTGCGTGCATGTGCCGACTGGCTTCGCGCAGAGTACAGAGAGACGAGCGTGCCGACAAGTCCTGGGGCGTATCTGACATCGAGATCGGACGACGATCCAGACTGCTGAAGACGAGCGAAAAAGCTTTCCATTAGTGCAATGGCAGAAGCGTGGTTACCGGTCAAGATGTATAATTGGACGATGACCAGGATGAGACCGACGTCGTTTGGTCGCTTCTTGAGCTGGGCCTGTACCAGCTTGAGTGCCTCCTTGCCGGTCTGGTTCCGCGCGTGAGCTGCAGCGTTTACGACAGAGAGCGATGTGACCGCGCCATCAACGGTAGGGCTTGGTTTCGAGGAGATAGCCGCAGCGGTGGAGTGAGCTGCGCCAGCGTACTTCTCAGACAAGAGATCAAGAGCGTAATTGTTGCGCTTCATGATATCGCTCTGGTAGTCGAACGGTCTGTCCGGCTTAAGAGAGTCTGGCGATTTGTGTAAGAGTCGATGGGAGAGGTAAGGATTGGAGGTTTGTGGCGCGGCAGCGGTGGTGTTGATTTCTGCGATATGCCGAGTAGCAGCATCTGGGAGACTGTACGCCATTAGTTCGACCCTTCAGAATCGCGATAATGTGACTTACTCTGATGGCTTCATACTCGACGCGACTGCCTTGGCCTCTTCCGCCTTCCCTTGCCGCGTCAAGACATAGATCTGCTGGACAGTAATGGGTAAAAGTTCAGCTTGTCTCTCAGCTTCGGACAGGTCTTCAAGTGCATTGCACAGATCTTGCCAAGGTTAGCAACGCTCCTCACAATTCCTATTCCATGCCTACCTTTCGCCCTCTTCAGCAGAATCTCCGCCTGTCCAAGCTCATCCCGTGCTATACTGCCGCAAGCTGCATTGTACGCCGTCTCAAATGCTTCCAGATCTTCCCTGCTAGGCTTTTTCTTTTGCACCAAATGCCCTTGCCTTGCCCATTCTAGTTGCGCATCAACCGCACCACTGTTGATCTTGATGTCCATATCCTCATTCGAGATTTGGGATCCACTAGACACCAATTGTCCGTACAATTGGTGCGCTCTCTTGAAGTTCTCATTCCGGTAACTCTGTATCAAAACCAATCAGCAACCTCTTCTATCTGTGCACGTGGTCGACTGTTCCATACCGCCTGCGCCTCAATGTGCCTGAACCCCCTCTCAGATCCTTGACCGGCTACCTCCGCAGCCTTCGCTGGATTGCCTCCTTTGTACAAAGCGTATGCCCATTCTAACCGCGCCCTCTCTTTCAGCCTATCACCACCTTCTTCGAGAACTTTGAGCGCATCTTCGAAGCGGTCAAGCTTTAATAGCGCAACGAGCTTGACGTGTTGAGCCTCGACATCATTCTTCGACTTCCTCAGCGAGGCGTCGGCGGTCTTGAGAAGCTCGTCGTGGTCGTTGACAGTGGACTGGCGGAGAAGGGAGCTGAGTGAGTCCGCGGCCGAGGAGAGAGCGGAGGTCATGCTAAGGGAAGTTGCCTGATATAGTGGTCGCCTTCAGATCATGTACCTATGCTAACCCTTACGTAGTCCGAGTAGTGTTTGACGCGTGCTTCTATACAGTTGTCACAAGGGTATAGCTGGCAGTTGAGGTTGTTAGCGGGGTGGCTTTTTGGATTCACGACTCCAAACCCCACATCGATCAATTTCGCCAAGCAATATGTATGTCTTTTATTCACCAGCATCTCCAACGCACGAAGATGGAAGAATCCATGTACTCCCAAGCGACGCCGTTTGAAATGACTGCTAAGACGGAAAGCCTCACTGTGTGATATTTCTTTAGATACCTTATATATTACATATTCCGGAAGCGAACCTCTTCTGCCATTCGTTCCTCCACCAATTTCACCACCTTCGCATCGTACAGGTCCTCTGGCTTAGAATCACCCTTCAGGACCAGCTTCTCGTGCCTGGTCGCCTCATCTTTTGTCATGCAGA